GACTTTTTTGTCTTTCTTGTCAACAATTGTTAAGTCTGGGGTGTTGTGTGGCAGGTGCTTGCCTGTTTGAATTCTAAAGACCCAGAGCACTTTAACTTCTTCATTTTCTATTATTTTGTCTGTTTTGTGGTCCCACTAGTGGCAAATTGTTGTTGTTGTTGTTGTTGTTGTTGAAAAAAGATTTTCCAGTACATAGGCAGTTCCTCATATTAGAAACTAAATTAACCTTTAATTATTCTGTCTCCCACACATGTACATATACACTCACACTTTCTGTCTCTCTGTTAGGATTTACTTACATGTTCTGAAAATGTTAAAATGATAAGCAAAATCCTGTATCTTTATCTGAGAGTCAAAGGCAGGCTTAATTCAATCTTTTCAGTATATAACTCATGTTCATATACATTTTGTCTTTACACATAACACAGGGAAACAGGAAATGTGCAGTTCAAAATGTTAAAGCAGAGTACATTTTACTAAGAGCTAAAGCAATAAATTAAATTTATTTATGAACTGATGGGGGGGGGGGGTTGGTTCTGTTTTGTTTTTTGCTGAATTGTTCCAGACTGTTCATTTAGTAAGATGCTGGGCTTTCTCAGTTTCTCAGTAACACTTTTATATAGCTGATCTATAAAACATGAAATGTCCCATTTTTTTATAAATTTATATTGAAGCCATTTTCTATTCTGTTTTATCAGGAGAAAATTAACTTGGAGAATACACATGGAAGAATAATGGTGACATTATTTTGTTTGTTTATTTTTTCCCATGATTAAAGCATACATCCATTTCTGTGGCATAAACATTTACAGCAAATAATAAATGGTACTGAATAAGATTTGAAAAAGCTGTGAATAAGCTACCTGTACTTTGTTCTTTCTTTTCACAGAATCATAATCTTAAAAGGCCATTTATATTATCAAGCCTTGTTCAGTGCAGCACTTCAAATTAAGTATCCATCACAAATTGCTATCTAGCATCCACTTGAACATACAATGTAAAGGGAAATGAACCATCTCTTTGGGCAGCTTCTTCCACTTATGAACTGTTCTTAGAATTAGGGAATGTTTTCTAATATTTGTTTGGAATCTGCCTTCTAAATAAATCTGTTATTCTCTGTGTTGGACATTGTTCACCTGTGTCTGTTCAGGTAGCATGCCACCTAGTCTGGGGCTAAATATTCTCAGGCCCTATGTCTCTCTTCATGGGATTTTGTTTGTCGGTCTTTGATATCACTGTTCCATTTATCTTATTATTTTTTTCTGGATAATAACAGTACTATAGCTTTTATTTTTTCATCTATGAACTTTGACCCAGATGATCCCCAGAATACAGCAAATTTATTATTTTAGATTTCTAATTAGATTCCATCTCCTTTTTCTGTTTCTTCTGTTCCTTCTGAATAAACAGTCTATTTTAATTATTATATTCCCTTGGTATTCTCAATTTTACCTATTATATAAGAGCTATCTTCTTGTACTAATGCTTATTCTCGAAGTTTAAAGTTCATTTTGTTTATTTTTGATACCATTAATGTATAGATAACAAAGAACTTTATGAACTAATCATACTAATGATTGTATAGTGAGTTGTTCAGTAGGCCCAGTTAGAACAGCACTTTCACCTCTGCCTAACAATAAACAAGTCTTTATTTGAGGTCTATACTTTAGATTCTTACCAAACTTCCCACTATTTTCCCCTCCTTTTCTGTTCTCTTCCATAAACTGAAGTGAAAGATGAGAACCACCAATAAACCTCAGGGTTTATTTACCTTCCTTCCTAGATCTTGAGGGATCATGGAGATACGGTTCTAGCCAGTCTTTGCAGTATCAGTTTTCCCATAGGAATTAGAAGAAAGTCATATTTGTTAGTGGATTTTGTAAGTCTTAGATGTTGTTATGTCACATCTTGATTTCTGCATACAGAACTCTTTTCTTTGGAAAAGACTGTAACCCTCTGCCCTTTTTGGTATAAATTCTCCTGCCTCTTTTTCTGCAGTTTCTCTTTTTTCCTTCCCCTGAGGGATCATAGCCTGTTCTTCTGTAAGGCCTTGAAAGCTCTTCCATCAGTGCAGAATAATTTATAGTTTCTTGCATCCAACCATTGTTCTCAGTAGACAGTCAGTATCTATTATGATATACTTTTGCAATCAGCAGCTGTGCAAGAGATGAGCTTTTTTATCCCAGATGTTTAGGCATATAGTTCCTAGGAACACCCAGATTATTTAGTCATTCCTCTCTTCCCTCTTTCATCTGAACTCCACCAGCAAATTTATGTTTGTTTCATAATGATTTAAAAATATTAAAATTAAAATTATGAGGGCTTGTCATCCCAGAAGGTTGCACTAAACAGAGATATGATTGCAGATTGAAAACTGAGCTGTATGCATACTGTATACCTTAGTGATGTGTTTCTATGAAAGAATAAAATTATAGGTTATACTCATAAGAAACTATATCTATGAAATTATAGTAGCTTATTCTGGATGGGTTTCAAACTATGCCTTTTAAAGGACCACCAACCTTTGGTGAAGTAATGTTTTTGTTCATTTGTATGATGTTATGTTTAATAAATCTGGATTTTCTCTCTTTCTGTGTTTTTATCAGTATTACGGGATGATTTCCGCCAAAATCCCACAGACATTGTTGTGGCAGCAGGCGAACCAGCTATCTTAGAGTGCCAGCCTCCTCGAGGACATCCTGAACCCACTATCTACTGGAAAAAAGACAAAATCCGAATAGATGATAGAGAAGAGAGAATAAGTGTAAGTTGGTCATACAATGGTAAATCTATGTGAATTTCTAAAGAGCAAATCTCACTATAGATTTTCAAGAAAGTTATAGAAATAAATGGCTTTTCATACAATATAAAAATGTATCAGATAGCAACTGAAAGTTTTAAATTTGCTGCATAAAATAAAAATAGTAAATAATTTTGTATACAAATTTACAGAAATAATTACTGGAGTTACTACTATATAAGCAAAATAGTAGGCCTCAGTGAAGCAACATAGCCTCACTTTGGTAAAGTTATTTGGCTGGTAGAAATGATGTGATTCACTTCATTGAAATAAACAGACCAGCCAAGTTGCCTTGATGAAGCAATTCAGATGGCAAACCACCATGGACCAGTTCTGCATAATAAATCTCCTCTTAGCCTTTTCCCCAAGTGTTTCCAGACTAGATAGCTTTGGGATTGCCCATAGCATGTACCAAGATACCTCTAGTCTGGGTGAATGCAACAGACATTGCAGGATTGCCCACAGTACCTGTTAGAGAAGCCCACCTTAGCAAACCTTCCATGCATGCCAAAGTGCTCCAATTAGTTGGCTTTGGGTATGCTGCAGGGTTCTTCTATAGCACTGGCCAAAGCTTCTGGTCAGTGCTATTAATGCACCACTTACTTCTTGAATGGTTGGCAGTGTTGAGTGATTGGAAGGAAATTAGTGGTAAGAAGTACAGAGAAAACTCCAGGTTGTGTGGCTGAGATCTGGATATTGCCCACTCTCTGCTGTTATTTATAAGAGTTTTGAAGACCTGGTTCTTCACCCAGGCCTTTGATAAGGGAAAAAGAGTGACACCCCTTCCTTCATCTCACTTGCCATCTTTTATTTTTATCTGTTATCTTTTATTGATTTTACTGTAGATTTTTTTTTTAGTTTGATTGTTGTGAGCTGCCCAGAGTCATTAAGAGTCAGCCAGCATACACTTTTAATAAATTATTATTACTATGGTTGGTCGCACAGTCACCCAGATGTTGTTGTTGTTGTTGTTGTTGTTGTTGTTATTCCTTCAAAGCTTTGCACAGTCCTATAAAATTATACTACTGGTATTTTTCTATTCATTTCTAGATATGTGAGGGGAAGGTTCATAGTGCATAACAAATTACATATGTTTGTTTAATTTCTTTATAATAGATACGAAGTGGAAAGCTCATGATTTCAAATACAAGAAAAAGTGATGCTGGAATGTACACATGTGTCGGCACAAATATGGTGGGAGAACGGGACAGTGATCCTGCAGAACTTACCGTTTTTGGTAAAGGAATTCTAAAATACAGTCATGTTTCTGCCCAGCTGACCCAATCAATGTTATTTAGAAGTTTTCTTAAATGACAGGTGTCCTGAAATCCCCCTTTTAATAGCAAAGTTTTGTGCCTTTGCCATAAGGCTATTGTATCTAGATTGGTTCACAGAAGTATGCCATATATTAAACTGTTATTATTATATTTTTCTCTTGTACTTGGATTGTTTAAACGTGTTATAGTATTAAGTTACTTTTACTACTGCAGTTACTTTCTGCAAACTGTTTCCCACAATGTCTAATGATAAAAGTCTAGTAATTCATTTTTTTAATAATAAAATGAAAGAGTTCTCCCCCACTCTCCTGGAATAGTGAAATTAAACCAGACAAGATCTTCAATCCATTGCTTATATTGCTTATATTGCTTCTTGTTAGTAAATTATCAAATGTATTTGATACAGTGTTACCCTAGTTGATAGAAATTTCAAACCACATAGTGTATTAATATCAGTCCTTATTCCCATGATTGATAGAAGAAATCATTTGTAACACTACAGGGAAATGAATCTGTAAATTATACTGAAGTTAAGTCAAAAAAATTTTGACAGGAAAAAGTCTGCCTTAAATAACTAAGTTGGATGAATATATTTCTTTAGGCATTTCATATTGTTTTAAATCCCTTATTTTAGAAAACAATTCCTATAAATATTGACCATGTTCTTAAAATAAAATTAAAACAGAGAATTAAGGTTATCTATATGCAAAACAAAGCTGCTCAATAAAATTTATTGGAAATGCATAGGAATTTATAATAAATTTGAAGAAAGTTAATTAGCTGCTGAGTATTTTTATTATGTAATACATGTATAAGATGTTTTGTTACATATTGGTTTTCAGACATTTGCAGGATTTATTCCTTTATTTTGGTTTTTAAAAAATGTTTTCTAGTAGCATCTACCATCAATTTCAGCATATCACTTGGAACTGGTATCTAGGTCATCATACAAGGAATTTAGCTTGAGGCATTGCCTTTGGTGAAAATGAGTAACAGAAAGTAAAAAGTTACCAGGAGTTCAGTGAATATATGCAGGAAGACCAAAATTACAATAATACATGGAGAAGTTTTCATAAATAGGTTTGGCATACTCTAAATAATCAGAGATAGAGTACTATAAGTGGGTGAATTAAAAATATTTTTTTTCAGACTTTACTGATGTAATCATTACATCAGTAATGATGGAATCAGTTACAATCGATAATATTGAAAGGAAACTGCCTGTGTTTTCCTGTGTGTTAACAAGAAACATTTCAATTCTCAATTCTATTAACATAATTATTACTATGTTTGGAGTCTAGATTTAATCAGAATAGACTCATTAAATCAATGGAACTTGTCGCTCAAAGGATGACGAAGTCTAGACTCCAAACATAATGTGTAGGTCTTCACAATAAATATTTTGTAGTGTTTGCTTTAAAGATTTTTTTGGATTTGTTTTTTCAAGCTCATGTATGTGGTAAGAGAATATGTACATTTAAGTAGATATGTTAGAAATGCTTCAGAACATCTCATTTATATCATAGCTATAAATGTTTGCTTTTATTCACAAAACAATATTCTGTTAAATTCTTTAAAGTTAAGTTCTTAAACGTGCCATATTTTAAAAAGAGTGATTAACCTTCTGTGCCATATTTATGTAATTATCTCCTCAGCATGCAGGATATTGCCATAGTCTACTTCATTGTGTGCAATTAGATGTACTGAACTGTAATTTTATACTGAGAGTGCTTCTGTTTCTATAACACAACATATATTGCCTTTGTGTACAAGATTTACCCACAACATGTTCTCTTCTGTTCAAAGGGTTCTCTCAGCCTTCAGAAGCAACTTTTTCATGACCATGAGAAGTTTGGGCTGGGGAAGGGTTGGTTAGGTTAATAGGAGAAACTGACAAATAATGTGTATCCCACCTACCACAGTGGAAGTGTGTTACGCTCCATAATTATATGTAATTCTACGTATTGGACCAAAGTTGTGTATAAATAATAGATGACTTTAAGCTTCATTTGGTCTGTAGATAAAAATCCCCAGTCAGCCATTTGTTTAGATCCTATTCCTTAATTTTGTCAGTTAACATTATTTGTAATTTTACCCCTCCTTTTTTTTTTTACTTGAATTACATGGAAAGTATGGTATATTCAAATTAATAAGAAAGAAATAAGTAGATAAATATTCAAAATACTAAATGATGGGTCTTCATCTTCCAGAGCCAAAAATATATTGTCTTACTACTTAGGTTAGCAATTTCTGAAAACTTTTGTATTCAATTAAGTACATTTGAATTCTCTCATAGTTGTCAGGTGCCATTATATAACCTAAACTTCAGTATATATATTAACTCAGTATCTGGGGGAAAAAAATGCTATGAAACTTATTTACAACAGTCATACAAGCCAGAGACCATATGACTGACAAAATGATCTCTTTTATAGACCTTCTTTTCCCAAAGGCTTGTAGTATTCACCATAGAAACAAAATCTAGAGAGAGTGATATATATCTATTCAGCTGTAACCTAGAAAAAATGCTTTATTATATATAGTATATGTCTGCAGTTTTAATTTGTATGCTGAATCCTCTTGATAACATTATAATTGCAATTATGCCACTCAAATTTATGGACACTTTTAAAAAAAAAAAATTAGTCAATCTGTTTTGAAATTGGCATCGCTGCACTATGAAAGAAGCATACTTTATTCTGGATATGCCAGAGAACTGCCTCCTTTTATCCAATGAGGGACTAACATTATAAAAAAAGTTGTGCATCTGATTTAAATCCAGTTAATATTATTTTGTGTGTATGTGTATGCTTTTGATTAGTCTTGACTCCTGGAAACTGCCAGGACAAGTCCCGGCAGTTTTCTTGGCAAGAATTTCAACAATGGTTTGCCACTGCCTTCTTCCAAGGTCTGAAAGGGAGTGACTGGCCCAAAGTCATTCAGCTGGGTTCTTACCTAAGGCAGGCTAGAACTCACAGTCTTCCAGCCCAGTGCCTTTAACTACTACAGCAAACTGGCTATTAATTTCACATAAAGAATGTCAACTGAATGACATTATTCTAGCAATTTTATTCATTAACTATTGAAAAAATCATCATGTTATATGAATAATATATAAGCACAAAAGAATATGGAACTTACATATTCTTTCCTATTAATAGGAAATGTAGAAATGATGTACAATTACAATAATGAGTATTTGTGTGAAATGTACGACCCTTTATGTAATTATTTATTATGTTTGTACCCTGCCACAATCAGTTTGACTCTCAGTGGCTTACCTGATAGGAAAAAGGGGGAAAAAAAAAAAAATGGAAGCATCCATGATGCAACTTAAAACATTCACAGTGAATATAAAACACAAATCTTGGGAACATTAGGAATAACAACTCATTAAAAATGAACAAAAACTGGGCCCAAGCAAGTTAAAATATTAGACCTCATGACTGTTAATGAGAAAAAGGAAATAGTTTAATAAATCACTAGGCCATAAATTTAGTCTTGACCGGACTATTTTCAAATATTTGAAATGAAACATAGTCATCTTATTTAATGTAGAACTCTTGTTTTCAAGAACGACCCACATTTCTCAGAAGACCAATCAACCAAGTGGTTTTGGAGGAAGAAGTTGTAGAGTTTAGATGCCAGGTACAAGGCGATCCTCAGCCAACAGTACGCTGGAAGAAAGATGACATCGATTTGCCAAGAGGAAGGTAGGAAATATGCTAATTATTCACAATTTTTTTAGGACTGCTATGTTTGTTCATATGAAATATTATTAATCAGGAAAAAGTATATTGGTTCTGTTATTTGTGGAACACATGTTCTTAAGGAGATACAGTTTTGCACTTAGACAGATGATAAGCAGACAGAGCTCCAGTACCCTTACTAAAATATTATGCTAGAATCAGAACATCTCCACACATAGAAGTTGTTTATTTTTTACCTCTTAAGCAAAAATTCTAACATCTCATTTGCAGGCCTTGGAACACCTGGAAATTTCATCAATAAAATTTTATGATAAAAATGATTGATTTTAGGAGTAATGCAATTTTCACTCATGTTTATGAGTTTAGGGGTATATAATGAAAGCAGGAGAGCCAGTTTAGTGTAGTGGTTAAGGCATCAGGCTAGAAACCTGGAGACTGTGAGTTCTAGTCCTGCCTTAGATACAAAGCCAGCTGGGTGAGATTGGGCCAGTCACTCTCTCTGACCCCTAGGAAGAAGGCAATGGCAAACCACTTCCGAAAAACCTTGCCAAGAAAACTGCAAGGATTTGTCCAGGCAGTTGCCAGGAGTCAAAACTGACTCCAAGGCACACACATGCAATGAAAGCACTTCTATTCCCAATCTGAAAACCTGAGAAATGTGAATGAAAAGCAGCTCCAAAATTGAGTCATTACATCACTGAAAGCCTTATAGCCCAACAACATCTCAGGAGGATGAACTAAAGCAGAAAAAGTTGCCTAAGCATGCAATAAAGGAATGGGGTTTCTATCCTCCTTTCTGTCTGACTTATTCACACTTGAGATTTACTAAATAGTTTCACCAAAATGTATTAACTCAAAAAAAAAAAAAGATTGAATTGGCTGTGAAATTAGCTTGACAGCACTAGGTAAAGTAATAAATTTATTTAGCATAATCCAGAGAATACTGTAAATAAATTTTGCAAGTGATTCTTAATCTTAATTCTTAAGTAGCTAATTTTACATAAATAATGTTAATTGTATGGACCATGGATTTCACTCCTGAACATTCTATAAAAGTATGGAAGATACTTTTGGAAAATGCAGTGTAAGAAAAGTATTGTGTAAAAATATATATTTATACTAGAACTCACATGTTACTACTGTCTAGAAAGAAGCATAACCATTTGTTTTTATAAGTTCTGCTTCCAAATTTTCCTATTTGGATATTTGGTTTCCCAAATAATGTAATACTGATTTTAAAAATCAGTGCTTTTTATTTAAATTTCTGTTTCGTTGGGGATTTAAAGTTTCTTTATTTGGGTATGAATGCAGCATTCCCCTCACTCCTGCCAGAAGTGCAATGCTATTAAATTCAAGTTTTCTCTGTGTCTTTTTTCTGTGAGTGCATATAATTTTCTTTCTGAGTTTTATATCACAATTTCATATCATGTTAATAAAATGGAGGTGGTTCATATATTACTTACATATTAAAAAAAATAAGAATATACAGGTATGTATTACTTAACAGAAGCAGCATATTTACTGGGCTCACATGACTATTGTCACATGATTCCAAGAAAATAGGAGTTTGATTCAATAAGATGCCAAGTGTGATATGCATATCCACTTACACTACAAATCTGCCTTTTCCCTTTGAACATAGATTGCTACACAATCTTATTACATGAATAAAAGTTATATTTCTTTCTCTTTTTTTTTTTTAAAGGGACCATCTGGAAAGATTGTTGGTTAAGTAACGTGCCATACTAGGCACATGGCACAGAATCTATCTATCTATCTATCTATCTATCTATCT